GCTTCACATTCTGAAATGAGATGAGATTGACTGGCATCTCTAGATGAGTTGGCCAACATTTTCTAAGACTTGACTATGGCCTGCTTCTGTCCTCTTGCCTTTTTGACTGCCCTTCACAAATACCATTCATTATACATTCCTCTTTTGGATGTAAAGAAATCAGCTTCTACTACAATACATGTTATTGTTTTATTGCTTAAACTTAAGGTCTGTGGATATTCAATTGCCCCCCCCCTACCTCCAGCACTTATTACTCAGCCCAAAGCATATTTCTTAGCTTCCTGCCAGCACTCATCTTTTAGGACTATTTTTCAGCTTCATCATCCTCTTCCTCCTCCTCTTCATCGCCATTTTTCTTGGGTTTCTTGACCGGCTCCTCAACTCTATAGTGACTAAATTGAAAATGAAGAAAAAACAGTACGGTTAATAATAAAGTAACTTTGCTGAACTTTTCTTCCTTTTCTTTTACTTTTCCAAGTTCCTTAGGATGCTGAAAATAACTAATAACTAAATGCCCAGAAGGCTTGAAAATATCGCCCTATACTGTATATTGAGTTTGGGGCACATCAACACAAATGGTCAATAAGATCACAAGCAATGCTTCTATCGGTATGTAAGTCTCCCACCCTCTCTTTTAAAAATAAAAATGCTTAATGTAATAGCATATAGCAGTCACCTGTAGTCCACGTAGCCTGTTCTGTTGGGGTCTAATTTGCGCACCAGGTCTACAACTTGCAGCCGTTTCAGGGGGATCTTTGATTGCTTGAGACACAAGAATATAATTATTGCATAGATCTTGGTTATCGTTACAATGGGCAGCAGCCCTTGGATGACCTCGAGTGGTCCACCAATTGAAGCAGGATCACATCTGGTTATAAGGGCAACCATTGTGAAAAACTAGAATTGTAGGCTAGACTGGGAAGTTGGAAATAAAACCGGGAAAAAAAGACAGTGATCAACTAATTCGGCTTCACTGCTAAAATTTTGTAGACATTAGGAGCAGAGTTCCCTTTGAGAAGTCTCAAAAGGTGGAAACATCTAGCCCGTGATGGAGAACCTATGGCACGCAAGCCACAGTTGGCGCACAGAGTCCTCTCTGTGGGGACTTGAGCCGTCTCCCCAGCTCAGCTCCACTGCACATGTGCGCATGTCTCCTGCCAGCTAGCTGGTTTTTGGGTCTCTGCCCCACACAGGGGGTGTCACGCATGCATTGTATTATGGGTACCTGTACACTTTCGGCACGCAGCAACAAAAAGGTTAGTCATCATTGACCTTGCCAATCTTGGTTGATTTACCCTATTTTACAGAGTATAAGACACACCTTTTTCCCTCAAAAAAGAGGGTGAAAATCTGGGTGCATCTTATACACTGAATACAGCATTTTTGGCCTACTGAATCCCACCCCCTTTGAAAAAATGGATGTGCAGAGGGATTGGGAGGCTTGCAAAGTGCTTCTGGGGTCTGGGGAGGGCAAAAATGAACAAAAAACCAGCCGTTTTTGCTCATTATTACCTCCCCCAGTCCAGAGGTGGGTTCCTACCAGTTTGTACCTATTCGGTAGAACCAATTTGTCAAATCTACCGAACCGGTTAGAAGAGGTACCACCAGTGGACCCGGAAAGCAGGCCACACCTACAGAAGAGGTTCCAAAAATTTTTGAAACCCACCACTGCCCCCGCACACACAGACAGACTGACAGAGAGAGAGAAAGAGAAAGAAAGAAAGAAAGAAAGAAAGAAAGAAAGAAAGAAAGAAAGAAAGAAAGAAAAAAGAAAGAAAAAGAGTGAGAGAGAGATAAAAGAAAAAAGGGACAGAGAGACAAAAGGAAGGGGAAAAAGAGAGAGAGAGAGAGAGAGAAACACATGGCCGGCAAGCCACTCCCACAAAGGAGGCCACACCCACAGAGTAGGTTCCAAAATTTTTTGAAACCCACCACTGTCTCAGTCCCAGTAGCACTCTACAAGCCCCCCCCAAGCCTCTGTATGCCTTTTTTTTGCAAAAAAACAGACAATTTTTGCTCGTTTTTGCCCCTCCCCCAGCCCCCAGGAGCACTCTACAAACCTCCCAAAGCTCTGCAGCCCCCCCCCATTTTTGTTTGCAAAAGATGAGGTGTACAAAGGGTTTGGGTGGCATGCAGAGTGTAAAAATGTTTTTTTAAAAATTACCTCTTTAAAATCATGGTGCCTCTTATACTCCGGTGCACCTTATAGTCCGAAAAAATACAGTAAGTAAAGTAAAGTGAAGGTTGAAGTAAATGTGGCCAGATCTGAATAGTACTTGGAGGGAGATCTAATTACTACTCAAGAGATGTAAGTTAGACTTATAATTTTAAAAGTTCCCAGAAGAAAGCAAAGGCAACAAACATACTAACACTCCTTTCTCCTATTTTTCCCACAATAACAACATCTTAGACTGATAGCAGTTTGGGATGGAAGTATTTTTTTTGCAATAATAATTTTCATCCAAGAGAAGGCAGAAAGCCCAACCCTACTCATATTAGATCCTGCATTTCCTTACCAATATCCATAATTGAATTGGACATTCCATTTCAGCTCCCAATCTCAGTTTTAGCCACTACCTGGTAATATGTTAGCCGTTAGGACATTACTCTTTGAGCTATAGCTCTATTTTTATCCGTCTTTTTAAATGTTCTCATAAATCCACCATGTTTGTAATGAAATTGTTCGAACAGATTCATCTTTACAGATTTCACTTCTTTCCTCACTGCATTTTTTCTTTCCCGTGTAAGCCACAAAGACTCCCTAAGCAAGCTGGGCAGCTGTAGAAATTGAATGAATGAGTGTTTTTCTGTGTCATCAGCATAAGGGAGAAAAGTCTATATCAATATCAATAGTACATATCGTGAAGACAGTTTGCAAAATCTTAAATGTAGAATACATGTAGGAAACTTCTTTTTTCAACTCACACCTTTACTCTCTGAAGTTGAAAATGTCTGTTTATTGAAGGTATTTTGCTTTGAGACTTTTTGGGAAATATCAATATTTACTGTTTCACATTTATTTTGGCACACTGTAGTGAGTGAGGAAGGAGTTCTTGACAGAAATATGCAAGTTTTGTTGCCAAGGCAACAAGAAGTAAAATATTTGTTGAGCCCAGGATGTCCTCACAACATCTGGACTTGCAAGAGTTTGTTATAATAGCTAAACTCAATCAAAGTAGTTTTAGCCTTCTGGTGGAGTTGATTTCCTGGTCTAGTCCACCTAATGCAGCTGTCATAAACCTTTTTCTGTGTGACATATTTGGTCAACAGGAGCCACTCAATTAATGTACTGCTTAGAATCTTGGCATTCATATCCCCATCAAAGATGGGCAACAAAAGGAAACTATGTCCTATATTTCCTTGAGTACTTTAAAGGCCCTCAGAATCTTTAAAATTCATGCCACCAACATCTCACCGGTGTTAAATAAAAATGATGTAATTTTCCTCTTTCTCTCTGGGAAAAACACAGCTACGATGGAAATAAGGTAAGAAGCTTTTCTTAATTATTTTCTCTCAGAGTCTGCACAGTGTGACTACTATTTCGAGACAACCCAGGAGCAAAATAAAGTACATAGTGGTTTATATACAAGACTTATATCAGAGGTGGTATTCAGCAGGTTCTGACCAGTTCTGGAGAACTGGTAGTGGAAATTTTGAGTAGTTCGGAGAACCGGTAAATACCCCCCCATCTATTCTCTGCCTCCTGAGGCCCAGCTGATCGGGAGGAAATGAGGTGTTTCACAATAACCTTCCCCTGGAGTGGTGTGGGAATGGAGATTTTACAGCATCCTTCCCCTGCCACACCCATCAAGCCATGCCATGCCCACAAAGCCATGTCCACAGAACTGGTAATAAAAAAAAATGAATCCCACCACTGACTTAATTCTGTATCTAGGGGATCCTTGGTTGTTTTCTTGCTGACATTTCATTACCCCAAACTAGTTAACATCATCGATGCACTGATGATGTTACCTAGTTTGGGTAGTGAAACGTCTGCAAGAAAACAACCAAGTTCAGAGAGCACCAGGGACCTTGTTTCAATCCCGAGCCAAAATATACATGCACATGTTAGGCGAATACCAGGCAAGCAAGCAATTTTCAACTCTACACGGGGAACCACAATGGAGATAAACCACGAGGAGAGAGAGAGAGAGACGCCCTCATATGGCCTCCCTTATATAGACAGCTTCTTAAAGTGGCAATAACCCTGCTCACTCATCCTCATGTCATCATCTCGGTTTACAGTCTTACAGCAGCTGGTCAGCTATTAAATCATCATTACCTTGATGTTTTCCTTTTTTAAAATCTTTTTTTTTTAAAAAAAACTTCCTCACTCCTCTAATGGAGAAAAGGACCAACTGTTCCAGCCCTCTTCATACTCATGCCATCTGTGGCCTCTGACTCTTGGGCAACAAAAAAGTTGAGGATAGGGAAGGGAATGCAGATTCCGACCACAAAACAATAAAATAGCCTTTTCTGATCATCAGTATAATTTTATATCTATTTGTTTATTTATTTCATTTGTATCCTGACTTTATTATTATTATTATTATTATTAATACAAATAACTCAGTGTGGCAAACATATCCAGCACTTTCCTTCTCTCATTTTCAACAGCAATCCTGTGAGGTAGGCTGGGCTAAGAGAGAGAGACTGGCCCAAAGTCACTCACCTGGCTTTTATGGACAGGGCAGGACTTGAACTCACTTTCTAACCCGATGACTTAACCCTAGACCAGTAATGGCGAACATAAATGTCACACGTGTGCTCCGGAAAAGCTGAACTTCCGGATTCTAGTGCACATGTGTGCCTGATGATCAGCTGACTGGAGCGCATGCACAGGCTGGTTTTCAGCGCTGCTGCATACATGAAGCGATGACGCTCTGGAAAAGCGGAACATTTGGGTTCTAGCATGCATAGCTTGCTATGGGTTCTAGGCTGACAATCAGCTGGCTGGTGTGCATATGTACACTGGTTTTCAGCACTGCTGTGTGCACAAAGGACAGATGATTGTTGCATGTGCATGCATGCCAGAAACCCATAAAACAGGCAAGGCTGTGCATGCTGGCCGACATGGCTTCACGTGCCACTTTGGGCACATGTGTGCCACAGCTTCACCATCATGGCCCTAAACCAAGCTGGCTCTCTGCTTTTTTATCTGTCTTGGTTTTTCAGATGCAGATGAGTTGAGAGTTGTAGTGGTAAAAAGCTGGAACGCTCTAATGAATTTAAAATTCCCAGGGATCTTTTGGGGTTAACCGTAAAAGTTAAAAGAATTCTACATTTTGAAACATTACCAGCATCATGGCTCTCCGAAACTCTGCCACGGGAATTTTCATATCACCATATTTATCCATACTCTTAAAAAAGTCCCAAGGCTTTAGTTTGTTGATATCTAAATAGACCTGGGGATAAAAGAGAAAAAAATGAAGAAGTGAGTGAGACCACAAGTTCAGTATTTTAAACTACTTCCCTCAGGGTGGCATCAAGTGTCTTTGGGTAAATGTGCCACAACATCCGTTTCTGCAGTTCTAAGATAAAGGCTAAGTTTTCTGTTGCTGAAAACTCAACCTGCATCCCCTGGATAGGGCTCTTTGATGAGGCTGTTGTGAATTTTTCTGCTTTCTAACTATTAATACTTAAGCAGTCATTAAACCTTGTCCACTTTTCATTTCAGAAAATATAACATTACTTTTGGCCAAACTATAATTTCCTCTTTACAACTGAATCACTTCCCTTAAGGCAAACTCATGGTCTCCAAGCTTTCTCTTAGTTTTAATGCTTCTTAACTCTGATCCTGCCATTCTAGAACAGCCAGCTGCAGGCTCAGAAACCTCATTATGCTGCTTAAGGAATGGTTCTCCTGAGGGACTCCTTCAAATGGATATCTCTCTTTTTGGTAGCACATTCATTAAATTTCTACTCTCATTGCGAATCTCTTTCTTTAGATCACAACGGGCAATAAGTGGCAAAGGATGATTGGGCTGTAACTTCCACCGTCCATCAAAAGAAGCCATTTGGCTTGGATTAATGAAACTGAACTGAAACTCAACCACGGCTGGAGAGTCACGCAGGTAATCCTTGCTTAGCGACCACAATTTGGACAGCAGCTCAGTCATTTATCAAAGCTATTGCTAAGTGAAACATCACAATTTTACAATCTTGCTTCAGCTTCCCTTTGCTTCACATACTTGTGAAGACTAAGTTCAAAGACTGGTTGCGGTTTCTTTTTCATCATCGTTATAACTATAATTGACCGTACAAGGCAGTCACTAAATGAGGAGTACCTGCACATCTATGTGCTACATAGCCGATTATTTACAGTACAAAGTGGGTAACATGATGTTGTGTCATTGTGGTTTGGCAGAACACAATGGAAAGGCTTCTACTACCTTCCTAGGTGTAAATGTAATTATTAGTTGATTGGAATAGTTATTTAAAGCTAAATATGTTTTAACATTCATAGTGCTGGCACTTTTGGTATATAATGCTTTTTTTCAGAGAATTCTATCTGGGGCAGTGGTGGGTTTCAAAATTTTTTAGAACCTTTTCTGTGGGTGCGGCCTGCTTTGTGGGAGTGGCTTGCCAGCCATGTGACCGAGTGGGAGTGGCTTAGCAGTCAAGTGACTGGGTGGGTGTGGCCAACTTGTAAAATGTGGTGAAACTCACTTAACAACTCTTGCTTAACAACCAAAATGTTGGCTCAGAAACTCTGGCATTTGAAGCATGCAAGTCTTAAAGCTGTCAAGTTACAAGACCCTTGCACCCCTAACCCTTTAGAAAAAAAACCCCAGGGGTGTTCAAACTTGACAGCTTTAAGACTTGTGGACTTCAACTCCCAGAATTCCTCCTCCAGTCATGTTGGCTCAGGAACTCTGGCATTGAAGTGTGCAAGTCTTAAAGCTGTCAGGTTACAAGACCCTTGCACCCCTAACTCTTTAGAAAAAAACCCCAGGGATGTTCAAACTTGACAGCTTTAAGACTTTAAGGTTTAGATAGGACTCTTAGAGGTGGATAGGGTAATTGATAAGCCAGCCAATCAGTGAGCGGTGGGCGGGGCAAGCATGGTGTGGATGGGTGGGGGGAGGGAGTTGGAACCGGTTCTAAATGGCATGGTAGATTTGTGGAACCTCTTCTATAAAAGAGGTTAGAACTGGCAGGAACCCACCCCTGATCTGAGGCATCCTTGGTTGTCTTCTTGCTGACATTTCATTAACATCATTGATGCACTGATGATGTTACCTAGTTTGGGTAGTGAAACGTCTGCAAGAAAACAACCAAGCTCAGAGAGCACCAGGGACCTCTTGTTTCAACCCCGAGCCACAAATATTCTTCTTTATTAGTAATTCTATCTACCCATTTCCTGCTTTGCGTATAGCTTTAAAACATGTTAGTTCAGCAGGCAATTGAGGAGCACATCAGAGGGCAAATAATGAAAGCAGTGTCACAACACCATCATGACATAGGTTTTGCCTCTTTCATTTGTACCCTGTGACATTCCACATCCTTGAGGAAAGGGCAGAGCCTGCATCGTAACAGCAATGCTGCTTTTAAATAAATAAAACATTCAGATCCTACAGATACTTCTGGGGCGCATCCTGGTTATTGCTCCATCAGGGGCTGTTTCCAGCGTTTCCATTTAATATAATACGTTTTTACTTTAATACAATACAGTTTAGTTTGCTGACTTGGGTAATATAATTATGATGGGCTTTATTAATGCTGTAATGTCTATGGGCGAGGCTGGCAACCAGCCAAGAAGGCTAGTCTCTATAGAGAGGCTATCAAAGCAGTAGGAAGAAATTTCTCTGATCTGTAAAAAAAAACATATTCGAATGGATTGCAAAAATTTAGAATAGAGTAGACCCTTTCATTTCAGCTATTGATCCATATGCCACACAGAAATTAGGCCCAGACAAAAGAATTTGTCCTTCACTAATTTGGAGGGAGCTGAGGTACTTACCAAAAAGTGTTCAGAACGTTTGAGATAAAGCTTAATATTCTCAAAAACCTGGCAGATTCTAACATAATTCTGAGGACATTTCTGTTTCTATGAGCATAACTGTGTGTGCATATATGCAGGGGTGGGCTGCTACAGGTTCGCCTGGGTTTGAGAGAACCCATAGCTAATGTTATGGCCAGTTCAGAGAACCTCCAAATCCCACTTCTGGCTGGCCCTGCCCACTCCTCCCCTCCCAGGTGTCTCCACGTGACCCATTTTGGATGTGAAATAAGTGCAGGACACACGTGGAGGCTCAGGGAGGGGAAAAAACAGGCCTCCCGGAAGGCTTCAGGACCCCAGGGGAGTAAGTTTTCATCCTCCCAGAGGCTCGAGTAAAGTCTCTGGAGCCCGGGGAAGGTGAAAACACCCTCCCCCATGGTGCAGGAGGCTGAATAGGCCACGCCTATCATAGCCACGCCCACCCAGCAACCTGGCAGAGAACCCGTTGCTGAAATTTTTGAAGCCAACCCCTGCATACATATGTATGGAAGATATTGTGGTATAATGGTTAAGGTTCTTAAGCTGGTCAGGAGTGAGGAAATTCAGGTTCATGTCTTCCCTTAAGCATGGAAGACAGCTGAGTGACTTTGAGCCAGTCACGCTCTATCAACCTGGGAAATTGCAAAACAACTGTCTACCAACCCACACTGACCCTCCATGAATGATTACGGTCCATAACCTTCAAGGAAGAGGCCTTATCCTGCAGTAGTTGATTCAGGTTGTACTCAAGGACGAAATATCCACTGATTAATAAAGGCTGAACAGATTTTTAAAACTATGCATTTATTTTTAACACTTGATTCCAAACCCTGGAGCAATTTGCAACTAATTTACTATGGTGTCTTTCATTAATGCAAGGTTTGAATGGCAAAGCATTAATCCAGACACATTGCAGGCGGAAAGGGGGATTGGCCATAGCATCATCTAAATTTTGCATTATTGGAGGACATGAGAGCTCAAGAAAGACCCAATATTCTGAGTAGAAGCCTAAAACATATCTCAGGTAAAGGACTGACTGTTACATTTACCTGAATCAGCTTCATAGCATCTATCTGATGCTCGGTTTTCCGCACAACATGACCTCCAATTCCTCCATAGATGATATCTAGTTCAGGACGTACTTCACAGACATGATCTAACAGCCGGATGAAGCCTTCATTTACAAGCACATTCTAAAATAGAGCCAAGAGCAGGATAACAGGGTTTTGGGGTTAGAAATAAAGGATCCCTTCCCCACCTTTTAGTTCCCATAAGAAATTAGCCACTGAAACCATTTCAATGAGTCATTCTAAGTACAAGTTGGATGGCTATGTCACTGAGCTGTCCTCCAATTTTTGAGTCAGGAGAAAAATATTCTGGCATCTCCCTCCCTCCCTCCCTCCCTCTCTCTCTCTCTCTCTCTCCCTCCCTCTCTCTCTCTCTCTCTCTCTCTCTCTCTCTCTCTCTCTCTCTCTCTCTCTCACACACACACACACACACACACACACACACACACACAACACACACACACAAATTCTACCCAAGGATGAGGCCAGCAAATAGTGATATGCTTACAGTAGCACTTGGGGGAGAAAAGGAAGATTCCCAGTTTCATTTTTTCCCACCAAGCATTTGTCTTCTGTCAGGGAAAACAAGCAGCAACAACTTCCTTTAAGGTGTGGCAGGATAGGGTCATAAAAGCATATGGAGGAACCTGCTGCTTTGGGGTAGCCACTTTTGAAGGTGCCCAAGTGACAGGTTGTATGTGTAGAAGGAAGAAATGCTCTGAACAAAAGTTTAGCACTTTTCTGAAAGAGCACTAAATTTATATCTTAAAATAGTCTGACTCACCAGCCACAAAGAATAGAATAGAATAGAATAGAAGAGGCCTTGGAGGTATTCTAATCCAGCACCCTGCCCCCTGCTCAAGCAGGAGAACCTATACAATTTTAAATAAGTGACTGTCTAGACTCTTCTTAAAAACATCCATTGTTGGAGTGCCCAGGATTTCTGGAGGCAAGCTTTTCCACTGGAGAGAGGGCAGGCACTCTCACCTCAACTTGTGTTTCTCTGCCATGCCTCTGACCCACTGACTGGCTTCTTTTTGGACACAGGATTTGGACACTAGTAGGCAAAATGGCACAGCCTACATCCCTTCGTAATCAAAGCAAATTTATAAAGCAGAGTTACAGCAAACCTCTACTGCCCACCATGAAAGCTGGAACGCCCACTAGTGGGCAGTAGGGACCAGACTGACTACCACTGTTTTAGACACTTCAGTGCAGAGTAGAACTGCCTTCTCTTCAGAGAATACTAATTCTGTTTTCTAAATAACAATGTAAACACATCTAATGCTCTTTCAAAAAAGCATTCTATGCATGCATCCGTGGAGCCTGGGTAAGATCTGACAAATGTTTCAGAAAAAGCCAGGGATCTGGTTGATCCTGCAGTCAAACCCAAAATGGCACAGGAGAAGGAGCATTTCCACAACAGAGGCCAATACAGATTGTAGAGATCCCATTCCTAATCATATTGCTAGTCAATTATCTATGAATCATCCTCAATCAAGTAGATAGCATTAACTCTGCCAGAATAGGGCACATCCTTCTTTAAAAGCAGAAGTCAATTTAGACCTTAAAGATGAACTTAGGGTAACCTCTGAATAATCTGAATTTATAAAAACAGTTACCATAATGTTCTTGGTACTGACAGGGAAACTTTAAGATGAACCTTCTGACAGAACTCTAATTATTCTCTGCTTTTCAAACTATGCACCCAAAACTCAAGAGTTCTGTGATTTGCACAAATCTACATATGTGCCATTAGTTTTCATAAATGATTCAGCCTCTTTTTCCTGTTTTGAACAAAGTATTCTGCTTTGCCAATCACGGGTAGCTTTACTAGGTCTTTCATACAAATGTACTTGCTAGCATATTCTTTGGAACAAAATGGCATGCATTTCCAAACAAATATGCCTGAGATCATTACTGTTTTATATCTCTCTTTTTGAAGCTCACTTGGTATATGCGGTGAGCTGCTCTTTTACTATACAATTCATTTCAAGATGGACTTTAGTTTTCTTCATTTAACTCAGGAAGCTCAGAAGCCTTCAAGCTAATATTCCTCTGGGCTGTATTGGAAAAGGAACTAAAATTGTTTATGAGGCTTTAAGAAGATTTCAATATTATTGAATGTTAGGACTCTATTAGTAACCGAAGGTGTTATTTGATTGGCATGCATGATGGTTTTCAACGATGTTCTTAATAATGGGAGGAGGAGGAGATAGGGAGAGAGAAAACTTTTTGACAAGATTGTTACCCCTAGGGGTTTCCCTAAAAATCTAACAAGAGGAACAAGAGGAATCTAATGAGATGCTAATGCTGCAAAGGATCCTATCTAATATTTAACTTGTACAGAGTTTACAATATACTGTAAATATCTTATGCTATAAGATATAATTCTGTAAAAAATTATTTCTCTTCATAAAGTCCAAGATACGTGGCAACCTTGCATTTTACCAACAATTGGTTTTGTGCACATAGCAATATATATATTTCTTAACTTTCCCTCTCTTAATTCATTCTTACTGAGATGTTGATTTCTTCCATTCTGGATTTTGGATTCTTCCTGACTGACATGAGAAGAGCAATAGCGCCTTCTACTGTGAGGAGATTCTGGGACATCTGTGAGGAAAATAAACTATAATTTGGATCCTGAAATAATGCACAAGAAATTATTTTGGTCCCGGAGCTTAAAAAAAAGCCTGCACCTAGATCTGGTGACTTGATTCTGTTCTAATTTTAATATAGATTTGTTGCATGATTTTATACAATGCATGAACTCGTAAGCAACATTCTTGACCTGTAAAATGGAAATAACAGTGACCAGTAGCTTTTAAAGAAGTGCAATGCATGTCTTGGACATTGTCATGGATTGATGATCTAATTAGAGAAATTGATTTTTAGCAAGGATGTCTGGGAGGCTAGAGAAGAAGGGACAGCTGCCTGGAAGAACTGTTGATTTTGTTCAGCACAGTCAAATAATATCATTGTTCATTGTTTGTGACTCTGAACAGATTTCTACAATGCTGCATCAAAAAATAGCAATGGTTTCCTCTGCACTCATTTCCTTTTTGATAACTTCTTATTGGCAGTAACCGCTTCTTGATAACAATTTTGACTTAGGATAAGATATTGAAGGACTTTACTTTTTTGTTATTATTAAATGTGCTAAATATATTATTACTATCTTATCATATGGCAGCAGCTGCCCAAATTTAGCTGGGCTAAGAAGCTGACACAGGTCAAGGGGTGGTGGGGTGGTAGTGCAAGCACTGTAACAGGCATACACATTATGCCATAGTGTATGCCAGGGGTGTCAAACCCGATCGCATCGCAGGCAATATTGTGATGCATTGGGATGTTTTTTGCTTTCGTGGAGGCGGGGTGGGTGTGGCCCACATGCCGCCAGTTTGACAGATCTGGCCTATGTTTACTTATGGGGGGAAAATCCCATCCTCCAGACCAGGGGTCTCCAACCTTGGCAACTTTAAGATTTGTGGACTTCAACTCCCAGAATTCTTCATCCAGCTGGATGAGGAATTCTGGGAGTTGTAGTCCATAAGTCTTAAAGTTGCCAAGGTTGGAGACCCCTGCTCCAGACCAAAGGAAAATGTTGATGGTGGTAGATGGATGCAACTGTTATTACATTTCTACAGCTTATATTGCTGACATAAATCTCAAATAAGAATTGGAAATACAACAGACATCCTCATTTAGTGACCACAACTGGGACCACCAACTTGATCACTAAGTGATGCAGATGTTAATGGGGAAATCACTGGACTGCTACTGTGCTTACAATTTTACTTTGGCTTTTCTTTCCCGCTGCCCCACTCCTGCCCTTTGGAATACTAACCCTGACGCTGGATAATAAGCAAGAAAGGTATTAATATTTGTATTTATGTTCATAGGATAAGAAGGGATTACAAGAGAGTAAACAGGGCACACAATGGGGAATACAAATTGAAAGAAATGCATGCATTCCTTTTAATGTGTGTTCTCCATTGTATACTTGCTTACTCTCTTGTTATCCCTTTCTCTCCAATCTCTCTGCTCTGCAGGGGGAAAATTGGTTAGGCAACAGGAGAGGTTGCTTGAAGAGATCACTTGTTGGAGTGAAGAAAAAAAGAGAGTAAAAACAGGTCAGCATCAGACAATGCCTACTAGTTCATTGTAATGGCAAATATGTGACAGAAAGAGACATTGCAATGATCGTAAATGCCCAAAAGTTATTTTGTCAGCAATATCATAACTTTGAATGGTTGCTGCACAAGGCTGTCAATAAGCAAGATCTACTTATAGTCAGGGCTTTCTTTGTTTGTGTGATCAGCTGCAAACTAATCTCAAATAAAAGCTGTAAGAATGACCACTTTCAGCCCCTAAATTTATAAGCAACATGGTATGTGAATGCCCTGGTCAAACATCTTCCTCTGACAGATCTTTCTTGCAACTCTACATTTCTTATCCTCTTTGCTACTTCAACTGATTTGAAGTCAATCTCTGCAATGTTGAAGTCTAGAAACAGGAAAACATAAGAACAAAATTTGGGAACTTTTCTCAGATTCTACAGTGAACTCCTTAACTTTATCAGTGCTGTAGACCAGTGGTTCCCAAACTTGGCAACTTTAAGACTTGTGGACTTCAACTCCCAGAATTCTCCAGCCAGCTCTGGGAGTTGAAGTCCACAAGTCTTAAAGTTGCCAAGTTTGGGAACCACTGCTGTAGACAGTTCACCCAGGGCCATAAAGCTGGCAGCCCAAAAGAACGTCAGACTGGTAGACCCTCAGTCAGAAGATGGCATCCCACCTTTAGGATTCTAAGGCTCCCATTCATTTCTAATCCTTTGCTTAGCTTTATTGCCCCGTCATTGCTAATATGGTTGTTGCTGATATCCAATTCAGCAAGCGTAATGTTGACTTTCAGAGCTTCTCCAAGGGCAAAGGCTCCATCATTTCCAAAGCCATTCCAGGAAAGGCTCAGTATCTTCAATGTTCCATTAACCTCCAGGAA